CTTCTTGGGTCCAACTTCTTTGGGACTCTCTGAGCTTCCTGGATTTCCTGGAAGTCTATTTCCTTTGCCAGATTGGGGAAGTTCTCTTTTATTATTTGTTCAAGTAAAGTTTCCACTTGTGGCTGTTCCTCTTCCCCTTCTGGTACCCCTATAATTTGGATGTTGGATGTCACGGTCCTGGAGCTTCCTAAGCCTCTCCTCCTTTTTTTTGAATTCTTGTTTCTTCATATTTTTCTGTTTGGTCATTTTTTCCTTCCTTCTGGTCTACTCCCTTGATTTGAGTCCCAGTTTCCTTTCCATTACTATTGGTTTCCTGTGCATTACCATTCATTTCAATTAGTTTAGCCATCATATGATCCTCTAATTTGTGACTATAATCAACCAGTTCTGTGAGGATCCTGATCACCAATGTTTTGAACTGTGCCTCTGAAAGTTTGGCTATTTCTTTATCGCTTAGATTTATTGGCTCTGGGGCTCTGAGTTGCTCTTGAGCCATGTTTTGATCTGTTTGTGCCTGTTAGGTATGAAGAGGGGAGCCTTAGTTGTACACCAGGGTGGGGCCACCCAGGTTGCTGGTTTGTGATGCTGTGTGTGGAGGCGTGGTCAGAAAGGGGCCACCCAGGTCACTGGTTTGTGACGCTGTATGTGGGGGTGGGGTCAGAGAGGGACAATAGTGGTTCCCTCTGCTGCTTCCTGCTGCTGGGGCCTGCATGGTTTGTCTCACTGCCTGCTCCTTCATCGGTTTATCTGCATGTGAATGTGTGGCCCCGAAGAGCCCTGTGAGTCAGCAGCCTTGTGCCCTCAGTGGGTCCACCTGCTTCTCCACACCTGGGATCTGCCCACGGCTGCTGGCGCACCTGGGTTGCACACCCGGGTTGGTCCAGTGGATCTTTCCTGCCCGACCCTGCTCTGCTGCTGACTCTGCCCCTCTTACCAGTTTGGCTGAAGGGTTCGTTGTTGTCAGACTTCCATGTAGTTCAATTTTCTGTGGTTTGGCTGTGTTTTTGTTGCTAAAACTTTGTTCTTTTTAAACTTAGTTGTGCGAGAAGGTGCAGTGCTTCCACCTACACCTCCATCTTGGCAGAAGTGTCACTATTGTTTTAATTTGCATCTCTCTGATGGCTAGTGTTGCTGAATATCTTTTTACATACTGCTGGGTCCTGTGTATGTCCTTCATGGAGAAGTGTCTTGTTCAGGTCTTTTGCCCATTTTTTGATTGGCTTGTTTGTCTTCCTGATGTAGACTTGTGTGAGTTCCTTATTTTTTTGCAATTAAATTTGCTTTTATTTTATTTTATTTTTCTCAATAATTTTATTTAGTTATTTTTCAAGTACCGTTTTTTTGCCTTTCTCCCCTCCCAGCCCCCCACCCCGTGCTCCCCACCTCCCTCCCATTTCCACCCCCCCCCCAGTTCTCATCCCTGTGTCCTCCATATTTGCTTCTCCAAGTCCCTCCCCTTTTTCCCCCTTAAGTTCCCTTCCCTCTCCCCTCTGGTCACTGTCCCTTGTTCTCTATTTCACGGTCTTTGTTTTTATTCTGCTTGCTTGTTTGTTTTGTTGTTTAGCTTCCTGTTAAAGGTGAGATCATATGGTATTTGTCTTTCAACACCTGGCCTATTTCACTCAGCATAATGCTTTCCAATTGCATCCATGTTGTTGCAAATGGTAGAAGATCTTTCTTTCTCTCTGCTGCATAGAATTCCATTGTGTATATGTACCACAATTTTTGGATCCATTCATTTACTGACGGGCACCTAGGTTGCTTCCAACTCTTGGCTATTGTAAATTGTGCTGCTATGAACATTGTGGTGCACAGGTTCTTTGAAATTGATGTTTTAGGATTCTTAGGATATAATCCTAGCAGTGGAATTGCTGGGTCAAAAGGCAGGTCAATTTTTATTTTTCTGAGAAAATTCCATACTGTTTTCCATAATGGTTGTACCAGTCTGCAATCCCACCAACAATGAACTAAGGACCTCTTTTCCCCACAACCTCTCCAACATTTATTGTTTGTTGCTTTGTTTATGATAGCCAACCTGACCACTGTAAAGTGGTATCTCATTGTGGTTTTAATTTGCATCTCTCTGATGGCTAGCGATATTGAGCATCTCTTCTTGTGTCTCTGGATCTTCTGTATGTCCTCCTTGGAGAAGTGTCTGTTCAAGTCCTTTTCCCATTTTTTAATTGGGTTAGATGTCTTCTTAGAGTAGAGTCGTGTAAGTTCTTTGTATATTTTGGAGATTAAACCTTTGTTTGAGGTATCATTGGCAAATATGTTTTCCCATACAGTTGGTTGTCTTTCTAATTTAATACTGTTTTCTTTAGCCACGCAGAAGTTTTTTATTTGATGAGCTCCCATTTGTTTATTCTTTCCTTTATATTCCTTGCTCTAGGGGACATATCGGTAAAAATGTTGCTGCATGAAATATCTGAGATTTTCTTGCCGATGTTCTCCTCTAGGACTTTAATGGTGTCACAGCTTATATTTAACTTCTTGACCTAATAAATGAATTTGGCAAAACAGCAGCTTCTATCCACCTTGAATTTATTTTGGTGTATGGTGTAAGTTTGTGCTCAAGTTTCATTTTTTTGCACATAGCTGTCCAGTTCTCCCAACACCATTTGTTGAAGAGGCTATCTTTACTCCATTTTATGTTACTGCCCCCTTTGTCGAATATTAATTGACTATAGAGAGTTGGGTTTATTTCTTGGCTCTCTGTTCTGTTCCATTCATCTATGTGCCTGTTTTTATGCCAGTATCAGGCTGTTTTGATTACAGTGGCCTTGTAATACAGTTTGATATCAGGTATTGCGATCCCTCCTACTTTGTTCTTCTTTCTCAAAAGTGCAGCTGCTATTCGGGGTTGTTTATGGTTCCACATAAATTTTTGAAGTGTTTGTGAGCTCTTTATCTATTTTGGAGATGAATACCTAGTCTACGGTATAATTGGCAAATATGTTTTTCTATATGGTTGGTTCTCTTTTAATTTTAATGGAGTTTTTTTAGCCATGCAGAAGATTTTTAATTTTGAGAAGATCCCATTTGTTAAGTATTTCCCTTGTGTCCATTGCTCTAAAGGACATATTGGTGAAAATATTGTTATGGGGAGTATTTGAGATTTTTCTGCCTATGTTTTTCTCTAGGACTTTTATGGTGTCACTACTTAAATTTAAGTCTTTCATCCACCTTAAATTTATTTTTATGTATGGTGTAAGTTGGTGATCGAGTTTATTTTTTCTTACATGTAGCTGTCCAGGTCTCCCAACACCATTTGTTGAAGAAGCTATTTTTACTCCATTTTATGCTTCTGTCCACTTTGTCAAATATTAATTGACCACAGAGACTAGGGTTTATTTCTGTGCTCTCTATTCTGTTCCATTGTTCTATGTGTCTATTCTTGTGCCAATATCAGCCTGTTTGGATTGCAGTTGCCTTGTAATACATTTTGATATCAGGTATTGTCTTCCCTCCTACTTTGTTTTCTTTCTCAAAATTGCTGCAACTATATGGTTTTTTTTATGGTTCCATAAGGATTTTTTAAATGTTTGTTCTATATCTGTGAAACATGTCATTGGTATTTTGATAGGGATTGCATTGAATCTATAAATTACTTTGGGTAGTACGGCTACTTTGATGATGTTAGTTCTTCCAATCCATGAGCATGGTACATGCTTCCATTTGTTTGTATCTTCCTTAATTTCCTTCTTCGGAATTGTTTAGTTTTTTGAGTACAGGTCTTTTGTCTTCTTGGGAAGATTTATTTCTAGGTACTTTACTTTTCTTGTTGCTTTATCAAATAAGGTGTTTTTTCCCTGATTTTTGTTACTGATATTTCATTGTTGGTGTACAAAAATGCCTTTGATTTCTGAATATCGACTTTGTATCCTGCTGTTTTGCCAAATTCACTTATTAGGTCAAGAAGTTTGTTGGTGGAGTCTATAGGGTTTTCTATGTACACTATCATGTATTCTGCAAAGAATGACAGTTTTGATTCCTCCTTTCTGATTTGGATGTCTTTTATTTCTTTTTCTTGTCTGACTGTTGTGGCTAGGACTTCCAATACTATGTTGAATAGAAGTGGTGAAAGTGGGCAGCCTTGTCCTGTTCCTGATCTTTTTTGTAATCACAGTGCCATATGCATGTCAGGGCTGCTGCATAAGCACTTGTATTGTGCCCAAACATGGAGTTCTCTTGGAACTCTATTTTTAACTTAGTGTTTTTATTTTGTTTTTGAACTTGAAAGATATGCATTTTTATTTTTAATTAGAAGCAATTTGAACAAGATCAAAGGGACTAAGTTAGACAACAGATATATCCATGGATATATCCAGGGATCAAAATTCATCTGGAATTAAACACAGGAATATAAATAAAAATTTTGGAAATTTTATACAAGAAGCAACATGTTATAAAATTCCCTTTTAGAAAACCCTTTACTTGTGTATCTACCAAACAAGAAGAAATTATGTACAATAATATATAGGGTCTGGCACTAATGAAGCTCCTTTTTATCACAAAGTCATAAGCATGTAATTCTTTATCATAACAATATCACAGTGAAACACACCATATGACATTTAGGTGAAGTGTTGAAATTGCTGTCCATCTTGTGTGAGGCATTTACATACTGTACCAAGCACACTCAAGCAAGCCTTACTTCTGCTGGCCCTGTATGTCATTTGAGAAGAAATTATTCTAAAGACATCAATGTTGCCACAGAAGTAGAGAAACACTTCCAAAAATATCTGATCAAGGTTGGAAAAAACTTTTTGATTTTAGGAAAGAGGACAAGGGAAAATCTATGTATATAATAGACAAAGTAGACAAAGTAGAAAGCTTAATAAAATGGTGGCTTAAACTGTCTAGAGAAGTTGAAACAAACAAAGGAAATTCCAGGACAGAAATGAAATGAGCAAGTTCAAAACCCAAAATATGTATAAGAATCAGAATTTCTGGTTTTGAATCTTAGGGCAAGGAAGGTAAGTATAGTTTTTTTGGCCTCATGTGATTGTCCCTTGTGTACCTGCCAGCACAAAGAATCTTTTGAGTGCTCTCTTTATGTCCTTGTTTCTGAGACTATAGATGAAGGGGTTCAGCATAGGTGTGACCACAGTGTATAATACTGAGGCAATTGCACTTGACTGTGAGTTGTGTGTAACAGCAGAACTGAGATACACTCCTAGGCTCGTACAATAAAATAAGGAGACAACTGAGAGATGAGACACACAGGTGGAAAATGCTTTATATTTCCCCTGAGTTGATGGGATTGCCTGTATAGAGGACACAATTTTAGAGTAAGAGTAAAGGATCCCAGCCAGGGGACCACCACCTAGTAGCATAGTTACAAAATAAATCATAATGTTATTAAGAAATGTGTCAGAACAGGCAAGTTGGGTTACCTGATTCAGTTCACAGAAAAAGTGGGGTATTTCCAAGCTTGGGCAGAAAGACAGCCTCAACACCATCAAGCATTGTAACAGGGAATTCAGGGCACTTATGATCCAGGACACAAGAAGCAGCAGTCCACAGAGCTGGGGGTTCATGATGACCATATAGTGCAAGGGGTGGCAGATGGCCACAAAGCGGTCATAGGCCATCACAGTCAGGAGGATATCATCCAACATTCCAAAGAGTAAGGAAAAACATGTCTGAGTGATGCATCCTGCATAGGTGATGGCTTTGCTCTGTGTCTGGATGTTCACCAGCATCTTTGGGATGGTGGTGGAGGTGAAACAAATGTCTACCAAGGACAGGTTGGAGAGAAAGAAGTACATGGGTGTGTGGAGGTGGGAGTCTGAGCTGACTGCCAGGATGATGAGCAGGTTTCCCAACACTGTGATCAGGTACATGGAGAGGAACAGCCCAAATAGGAGGGACCGCAGTTCTGGTGCCTCCGATAGTCCCAGGAGAAGAAATTCTGACACTGTTGTAAGGTTCCCTGCTGCCATGAGGTGGAGGTGACTTTCAAGAAAGAGATAAAGAACAAGAGTAATGTTCACAAAAAGAAGTATTACTCACATAGCTGTAATGCTGCAGTTTATATGTTGTAGTTAAGATATTAATTTTAGTATTTTGAGATGTATCTGTTTACTTCTAGGAGTTTTCTGTGTTAATCAGAGCACAAAGTTTTGTCCCAGTCTGTTTTCTTTTCCCTAAGGTGTTAGCCTAATTACAATATTAAGGAGAAATTATTCAAGTTTTTCAGGAATACAAATTGAGTGTTGACTGTGTTTTCCGCACTGTCTAAGCTGTGAGTAGATAGTGCTGAAGAACACAAGTCCCTATAAGCCAATATTGGGGAAAGAATATAGAAGAAAAAAAAGAAATAAATATAACATTACACATGGTTACAAATCCTATGAAGAAAACAAAAGCAGGTATAAAAGGAAAGTATCCAGGCTGTTCTATTTCTCATGGGTTTTTAGGCAAGACCTGCCAACAAGTGACATTTGTGTTCTCAACTCAAGAGAGAAAGGGAAGGAGATCAAGTGTGTACCTGGTAGTGGGGATGCCTGGTACCAAGGCCTTAGGGAGGAGCCGAAGGGGTTTAGAAATTTGCTCAAAGGTGATGTTAGAGTATATAATGAGCCTTGGTTATGATTTTTTCTGGTGTCTTCCAGTTAGTGGGTCTCAACTGAAAATGACTTTACACCTAGCAATGCCTGAAGGGATATCACTAAACCTCTACAATTCATGTTCACACAAATAAATACCCCTGTATTTATAATCCATCCCCAAATGTAAATTATAAAAGGTAACAAAATCTAATTTAGACCAGCACTTCTTCAGTTTCAAATGCATATAGTGTACCTAGTACCCAGAATTCTAATTCAAATTTAGAAGATCTGACTCAGCAGATCTTTCAGGCTCAGAGAAGCTGTGTATCTGACAAGTGCCCCGGAGATGCTGATGCTGCAGTTCCTGTCTGTGGACCACTCTCTGGGAAGAAAGTCTGTGGTTCTGTGTTAGACTCAATTACAGGTTGTTTCAGTTCCTGTGATTCAAACATCATCTTCGTGTAGAGTTTTGTCAAAAGAGTGTATTCACTCATTCCAGAGGCTATCATTAAATCTGTGTATTCTTTATATAAGGGATGTTGAGTGACACATAATCATAGTATTCTGAAAAAGAATTTGTAGCAGGCAGAATTGTGACTTCTGTAGGATATTCACGTCCTAATCCATAGTATGTTTGAATATGATGTGTTTTATATCAACTGGAGGATGAGGGTAGCAGAAGGAACAGGGCTGCAATCAGCTGACTTGCAGGTAGAAGATGAGTAGGATCATCCAGGGGGACAAAGTCAGCACAGTGCCCCCACAGATGCATAGAGGGAGACCAGGAGAAAATGTGACACTGCTGGCTTTGACAAAGGAGGGAGGTGGGCCAAGAAATGCAGGTGGTCAGAACCCAAACTAGAATTAAGGAGAAGACAGTTCTCCCCTGTCTTTCTTAGGTTCTCCCTGAGCCTCAAGGATGGACCCAGCCTTGCAGACACTTTGAGATTAGCCAGAGAGACTCATGCCAGGCTCTGACATCTAGAACTGTGCACCCATATCTGTGCTCACTGAGAACAACTGGTGTGGGAGTGCTTCCCAGCAGTCTCAGTAGTGTAATAGAGTCAGTCATCCAGTGACATGTGATGGAGGGGCTGAGTTTAAGTGTCTGTATTTGTTAGCTTCCTTGGGTAAGTATTTTACTTTAAAAATCAACAGGGATTAGAACAGAAATTTAAAAATATTTGGAGATTTCCACCTCATTAGCTAGGACAGTGAAGTCATCATGGCATAAATATAAACGTGAACTAGGATGTCTTGGTGTCATTAAGATTTAAGGTACAATGTGTGGCCTTAATTTGTTCATTCCTGAATTTTCAAAACTATTATTTCTCAGCATGCTACTTTGGCTAGAATAGAATGAGTCCTCAATTTATATTCCCAAGAACATGACAGAATCTCTCATTCAATGCATAGAAAAATGTGCACTGCATGGAAAGGCTGAGTGTGGGACAGGAATTTCTACTGTTTGAATAGAGACATAAAAGGACACAAAATCCTAAAATATATGAGCCTCACCAGTAATGAAGTAGAACTACTTCGGATTCCAGTTAGACTTATTAAATATTTTCTCATGTGAATATGCAGCATGAGAGAAGATACTGCATTGTCTGTCTCCTTAACTGCTACTGCAAGGTGCCGTCTAGTTCTACTGGCTGGATCTTTCAGTGAATACAAAACATGCTGAAATACACCCCGTCTTGGAATTTTAGTACAAATGCTCTCAACTCACTGCACTGTTCTCCACACCCAATGTTTCATTTCTTTCTCCCCAATCAGGAAAATACTCACAAGTGTTTTCATTTTCCTGTAGTCATTTCATGCATCTCATTCATTGTACAGCATCATCCGACTGGACTCCCAGGTCCATTACTTGGCCCTGGAGAGCAGATTCAAACAGACAAATTCTTGTTAACATATTAAGTAAATTAGGCATAAATTAGTTCCTTAACCAAGAATAAAAACTGAGATATATGGCCTCAGGACTGGGATGATTAGGGTATTAGTGACTCAGTAAAAGTTCTCAGGTTCCATTCTCTCTGACCCTTTCCTAATGTACATACCAGGCTCTCAGACTCCCCTGGATGGGTTTTCTGAAAGGAAGGTTTCCGTGTGTAAGTGAGAATTGCTGCCTGTAGGGTTGATGATGGAGACTGAAGTTTTGTCCCACACAAGACAGTAGGAAGGAGTGAGGCATCAGTTCTTGAGCAAGACTTAGGAAACAGCAGCAACAACCATGTTCTGTCTACCATCATTGTACAAGCTCAGGTACTGCATGGGGAGATATTCACAACTCTCTGTATATTGGCTCATCAGACACATTTCTCTCGGGTTATTCCTACATCTAAGTACGTGATTTCCCCAAGGGCCTCTGTAATTAACAGGAAGAGATTTTTTTCTAATGATTCTCAGATCTCAAAAGACCATGTTAGAAGCCAGGTAGATTTAGATTTTATGACTCCTTGTCTTGGGTCTCATCTGCTTCCCAGAGGTCTCACCTCCTAGTACTTTTTTCCAACACTGAGTGAACATTTTCTCCAAAGTCTGAGACTATGAAACCCATCAGAACCAGGTAGTCCCTTTGCTACCCAAGAACTTATTTGTGGTAGCAACACCTCCCTGATGTCTCCAGAGCATTGCTATCCCCTCTTCAATGAGGGGAGAACTGTGTTCCTTTGATATGCAATTCTGGCTATCATAGGGCCTGATTTCCTTATGCATTTGTCAAAATATGTAGAAATTTCTTAATAATATCACAAATTATGGGCTGTCATTTAATGTTTCATTATAAAATATGTGTTAATTTTGAAAGATGCCCTTTGATAGTTTTATGCTATATAATCTGAACTTAGTACCTTATAGACTTTTCTGATATAATTTTTGAAAAGTCCATTCTATTAGGTATTACTATCATGACCTGCATTTCCTTTTGCAGATATGGGGCTGGAAGGGCTTTAGGGATTTTCTCAAAGTTATGAACTAAATGAGGGATGGACCTAGATTGAAATCTGCCAGGTTGCTTCCAGTTTTTAAATTCTGGGCCTGTAGTTCTTCTCCTGAGATGATTTTGCCCCTGAAACATGTGGAAAGAGGCTACTAACCACCTACTGGATTCAGCACAAATAATTATACCACCCCTATTGTCAGTGTGAGAAGGTGACAAAGCCTAGCCTAGTCCAGCACTTGTTCAACTTCAAGGTGCATATGAGTCACCCAGGATTACTGTTCAGTTGCAGGTCCTGAACGGCCCAGGGGTTCTTAGAATCAAATTCGTTCCCAGGTGGTGTTGATGCTGCAGGTGCTGGTCTCTGGACCACAGTTTGAGTAGTATGGCTGGGTCTAAGTTAGAGTCAGGTGTAGGTACTTTTAGGTCTTCAGAACCAAATATTATTTGCATGTAACTTTGAATAAATAGTGTATGTTCACTCACTCCAGAAGCTGTTATAAATTCATTGTTCAATTATTTTATATAAGGATTCATGAATGACATCATATGATATGCTTCTGAAAAGTACCTAATTTGATTTGTTTGCATAAGGACCCTTGTGTGACACTATGGAAATTATTAGTGAAGAAAAATTTGCAGTAAGCAAAAGAAGAACTTTAAAGATACTTACATCATAATTCCCATAAACTTGTAATATGTTACTTTTCAATGCAAGACAGAACGAAAGTAGCAGATGGAATAGTGTGACTAATCAGCTAATTTTAAGATAAAATGCTGTGATTACGTAGGTGAGACTGATGTACTCACCATGGTCCTAACATTGGAACAGAATAGAAGAGTAGTTGGAATCTGAGGGAAACTGAAGGATGCTACATGGCTGGCTTTGAAGATGAAGTAGGGCCTAGTGGCAGGAGAAACTGGGGTAGGAGAGGAAATGGGATCTTCCCTGAAGCCTCCAGAAGGAACCTGGCTCTGCAGATATCTTGCTTTCACCTCATTGACTCATCAGGCTTCTGACCCTCCAGATCTATAGGTGTATTAACTTGTTTCTTTTAAACCCTTAGTGTGGTAATTTGTTACAGCATCAATAGCACTGTTATGCAGACACTTATTCAATCATTTTTAGGGGAAAGTGACCATCAGAACCTCAATTCATTTACTTGCATCCCTTGGGTAGGGACATTTTCTGTTGAAACACCCAATAAGTAGAAGAAAGAAATCTAAAGTCAATTTGGAGCTTCTGCCCTATTAGCAGGTACAGAGATCCCTACAATATAAAAGAAAATGTGGTTCTGACTTTGAAGTCTTTGGACATTGAGACAGGAAAATAATTCAAGACAACTGCCCTGGCCATGAGGCTCAGTTATTTGGAGAATCATTCTGTGTATCAGAAGGTTATGGGTTGGATTCCTGGTAAGGGCACTTGCATGGATTTGGGGGTTTGATCCTCCTCCACTGGGGCATGTGTGGGTGTCAATGGATCAGTCTTTCTCATTTGAGTCCCTCTCTCTCTCTCTCAAATCAATAAAAACATGTCCTGCAGTAAGGATAAAAAAAATTTAGACAACCATACTGCTTAAAATCTTTGTGTGTAGTTTGTACATTTTTAAATCTTCCTTTTAATTCAACCTGCCATAATTTTCTTTCCTATCCTCTTCAGTTTTCTCTGAAATTTCCTTTCAACATCGAAGATGGTATTATTGAGTACATTTATGCAATTGAATGCTTATTAATTAAGTCATTATATTTATACTTATAAATATTATATATGTAGATACACACACATATATACATATACACATAAACACCCTACTAAACCATAAGAGAGCCCTGTACTCAAGAAATATTTCCAGACATTTTATGGGGCAGAATCTTAGGTATTTGCCAGAGTGGGGCAAGCCATGTTGTTTAGTGGCACTGTGTAGGGGGGAGGGGTCTGAGAGGGAACAGTGCTGCTTGCTCAGCTCTTGGTCGGCTTTCAGTCTCTTCCTCCTCTACAAACAAACAAACAAACAGACAGACAAACAAACAAACAAATTGGGCCCTTCTGCTGCTGATTCTCAGGTGGGTGGTTTTGTGTATGTTCTAGGACTCTGGGTCTCTCCAACAAACTCTCCTGGGAGGCTGGGAATTTCTCCTGCTGCCACAACCCCATAAAGTTTTTTCAGTCAGAGGTTTTGAGGCTTTATTTCTCTGCACTAGAACCCTGGGTTGCATGGTCTTGTGCCCCAGTTATTCCTCCTGGTTTACCGCACACAGATGTGGGACTGCCTGCTCCACCAGCTGCTGCCTTGCCTGTCCCCAGTCCTCCAGCTGCCTCGTTGCTGTGAGACCTCTCCACCCCAGCTGTGCATCTCCACCCTCCTTCTGGTATGGATGAATATTTTTTTCTTTAGCTCCTTGGTTGTTAGGCTTCCATACAGTTCAATTTTCTGTCAGTTGTGGGGTTTTTTTGTTTTTAAATTTGTTGTTGTCCTTCTTTTGGTTGTGCAAGGAGGCACTGTGTATCTACCTACACTTCCATCTTGGCTGGAAGTCTAAAACATTTAAATTTGGACATGATACATCACATAAAGAAAGTGAAATACAAAAATCACATGACCATGTCAATAGATGCAAAAAAGTTTATGACAAAAACATTCAACAGAGTGGGAATAGGAGGAGCATATCTGAGCATGAAAAAGGCCATATACGAAAAGCCAACTACCAGTGTCATACTTAGTGGACAGAAACCACAAGCATTTCTGTTATAATCAAGGTCAAGGAAAAAAGGTCTGCTTTCACGACTCTTATTTAACAGAGTACTGCAATTCCTAGGCACAGTGATCAGGCAAGGGGAAGAAATAAAAAGCATCCAAATTGGAAAAAAAGAAGTAAAACTGTCATTATTCACAGAGGTCACCATAGTGTACACAGAAAACTTTATAGGCTCCATGAAAAAAACTACTCAATCTTATAAGTAAATTCAGCAAGTAGCAGGATACAAAGCCAATACTCAGAAATTGATGGCATTTTGTACATCAACAATGAACTACCAGGAGGAGAGACAAAGAAAAGAACTCGCCCTTACTATAGCAACAACAAAATAAAACATACCTAGAAATAAAATTAATCATGGAGTTAAAAGACCTGTACTTGGAGCAGGTCTTTAGTACACTAAAGAAAAAAATCGAGGAAGATACAAATAAATGGAAGCATATACCATGTTGATGGATTAGAAGAATTAGCATCACTAAAATATCCATGCTACTTAAAGCAGTCTATAGATTCAATGGAAATCTTATTGAACTATCGATAGCATATTTCACAGACTAGAACAAATATTTCAAAAACATATATGCAACCAAAAAAAAAAAAGAAGACCTGAAATCGTCTCAGCTATCTTGAAAAGAACAAAGTTGGAGGGAGTACAATACCTGATACAAAACTATACTACAAGGTCACTGTGATCAAAACAGTGTGGCACTGGCATAAGAACAGACTCATAGATAAATGGAACAGAATAGAGTCCAGAAATAAAACCATGTCTTTATGGTCAATTAATATTTGATAAAAGGAGCACAAATCTAAAATGGTATAGATAATCTCTTAAATAAATGGTGTCAGGAGAACTGGATGGTACTTGCAAAAAAAAAAAAAAAAGGAAACTAAACCACCATGTTACATAATACACCAGAGTAAACTAAAATTAGATAACAGCATTAAACATAAGTCAAAATACCGTAAAAATCCTAGTAGAAAACAAGGCAGTAAAATTGCAGAGATGTCATGTTACAATATTTTAGCAGATATATCACCTAGGGCAAGGAACATAGAGAAAAAATAAACAAGTGGGACTACATCAAATTTAAAAGTTTCTGCATGGCTAAAGAAACCATCAGAACAAAAGAGGAACTGACTGGATGGGAGAACCTATTTGCCAATGATACACTGGACAAGGTTTTAATCTCCAAAATTTATAAAGAACTCATATGACTCGACACAGGAAAACAAACAATTCAACAGTGATCAGAGAGGAGGTGGGAGGGGATAATGGGAGGAAAGGGTGAAGGGTTTACAGGAACAATTATAAAGGACATATGGACAATAACAAGGGGTGGTGGAAATGGGGGAGGGTGGCAGGGAAGGTTGGGGTGGGTGGGGAGGAGGGCTGGGGAAAAGGCAGAAAACTGTACTTGAGCCACAATAAAAAAAAAATAACTGAAAAAAAAATGGGCAAAGGACCTGAATAGACACTTCTCCAAGGAGGA